CTTTTGTTTATAGATCAGGATATTACAGACTTGCAAGCACACCCTGTTCAAGTAAGTCAGTACTTCTTTCCAAACTGGATTTTGAAAACTTTATATTTTAAAAAATGTTTTAGAATTATGTATCAGAACCTACCCCTGATGGCAGCGTGTGGTCAAGGTACTGTTACTGTGAGAAGGTCTCCAAGACAGTTACTTGCTTTTACGCTCACATCCACTTTCACACTGAGGCATTGCGGCTGCTCCCAGGTCTTTGTCAAAGCCTTATTGCTAGCACAGAATCCAGAAGAGTGGATGGGGCCAAAAGTCTGAAGCATTTCTGAACATGAGGTTAATGTGAAATGGAATATTCCTAAAAATGAATCATTCCTAAAACCTGACTGGTTACAATTCAGAGGGAGGTCGTGGTAAGATGATAAAATACCACAGGATAAAATGTGATCCAAGTTTAAGCAAGCCAGAAAGTCCTGACTGGGTGTACTTCTAACTCCAGATTGCACATGTAATTTGGCATTCAGTTCTGTTTCCATGGTTCTGCCTACAAGCAAGGAGCTAACACAAGTGAGAACGGAAAGGAATGGTTCCACAACTGTCACTGAAACTGCAGTTTTAACCAAACTTTAGTGAATTGTGTTAGTCACCTGAGGTAGTTTTTTGTTCAGAGATCACATTTGGTTGTGTACTGCAAAAAGGTACAGTGACAAGGCACCACAAGTTGAAGTTCTAGGTGAAGTTTTGCTATCAATTTGTCAGCAACACCATCTTACCTGTTAAAAAGATCTCTTCTGTGAATGAGCAAAGATGCTGTGTGTTCATAGTCAGTTCTGGTTTCCTTAAATATATGGCAGCATTCCAGACACGTGAGCGTGACTGTCTTTTCTTTCCCTCAGGCTTTGTTCAGACACCTCCTCCCCCGGTTTCACTTGAGTTGGGAAACAGCTATTGCAATTGAAAGAGTCAGTGCAGTTTTTCACAGGTTTGGTGTTCAGAAGAGCAGAATATTAGGGGTTTTTATTCTTATTTGTCCATCTCTGAAACTTCACAATAAGTGGATTGCTTCCCCCTCACCAAGTGCCAGCCAAGAGTAACGACTGATACACTCCTGGTTATGCAAAACTTCCTAAGCTCCTATCAAGCCAGAATTAAGTTACTGCCTCTTATACTATCTTAAATTCAGGACTGCTTTGGTAAGGAGTTATTTTAATTCTGTCCTAATTAAACAAACAAACAAAAAAAAAGAGACCACGAAAGGGATAATAGATTGCACTTTAGCAGTGATGCACCAACAAAGTTTCCTTCAAAAATATAGTTCTCATAGTTCTTTTCCATGGATAACTGGGGATCAAACTGGAAAGATAAATGCAAGCAGTTACACTGTTCCCTAGTTGTTCTGGACTAAGTATTTTTTTTTTTTTTAAGTGGAGAGAATGCTGGAAGGCTCTGCTTGTGGATAATGTGCTGCTCACTTCAGTATTAACGTTAAGTGGGATAGAACCAGTCATAAAGTCAGTTAACTGGAGCAAAAGAACCTTTTCCAGTTACAATAAAGTAGGCTAAAAGGAAAGTTTCACTGAAGATTTCTGTGGGAAATATTTTTAATTACTTTTACAGCTCCTCCTAAATAACAGAAGGTATTGTGCATCTTTTCCAAGGCAAAGGAACTACTCCTTGCTCTTCACAGCTGTGTACAAAGAGGGGCAGAGAAAGTGAAGTTCAGGTTTGTCTGTACAGCATGGGCTTCTTCCCTCTGGCGGGGGGCAGGAGCAACTACTGTCTGGGACAAGGTGTTTCACCTGTAGTGACTGACCAGCAGAAGGGGTGTTTGTAACTCAGGCGGAGGAGAGTTCTCAGGAGCCCTGCCACAGTACTTGTTCATCATCATAATTAGTGAACAGAACACTAGTGTTCATTCAAGGCTGTTCTAGTTACCCGTGGGGGTAGTACAGTGGCACCTCTAATGCTTTTTAGCTGAGGAACACATCCACCTCCTCACTGCATACAGCAAGGAAGAGAGCATGGGTTTTTGGGTGTTTTCTGTTTAGCTGTGATTGAGGGAAACTTTAAGGGAGTTAAACCTGCTTAAAGGCGGTTCTGAAAATCAGAGTCAGCCCAGCGAGCAGCAGGAGCACAGGCAGAAAGGGACCTCCTTCCACAGCCAGAAAGAGCTTAAGCTCAGGACATCTCAAGAAACCCCACTCAAGTGTACACAAGCATTCCCTCTTAATCCAAGGTCCCTCCTTCTGGTTAAAAATTTTAGTAACTGTAGAGATAAAACAAGGAAAGGAACAGAACTTCACTTTTAAAAATAACATAAGTGATTCATTGCAGTTATCCTACACTGTTTTCTGTTGAATATACAACTAAGTGCAACCAAAGTTGCTGGGTTTAACCTGAGTGCTGTGAAAGTCCTTCCTCCCATTTCTCAGCCTCCAGGACCCAATGTAGAACAGCAGCACGGATGGCAGGTCTGGAGGAACTGTTCTCTTCTGTGGGCCATGCTCTGCCTCACCTCTGTTTTTCTCAGTCAAAACACATGTTCAGATGGTTTCAACAGAGTGTAAGGGGGCTCAGGGTCAGAATCAAATTGATCAACACCAGGGAGGTCAAGCTGCATGTACTCGCCCTTCCCTCTGGACAACCACAGCACTAAGCACTCAAACACTAACGGTACAGAGGGTTTATTTTATGAATTATAAGAGGAAGCAGCACTGGAATTTTCAATAGCTTGTTGAGAACATTTTTGCTTTTATTGTCAGTTTGAGAATTTCAGTGTGACTTGAGTTGAATACTAGAGCTATTAGGTTTACCCGTACCTAACACACATCATGTACTTACAAAATAACATGGCTTTAAAAGGTGGAATAGTAAAGTCATTTTGAAAATAAAATAGTTTATAGCACTAAAGAGTCACAGTGCAATCAATGGTTTAATCAAACAACTACATTATATATATATAATATTTAAAGAACATAAATATTCAGTAAATTCACTACACCATGAAAATGAAAGCTTCACATTCTCCCACACTTTTTAAAGAACTGGGAACAAAGTGACAGACAGCTCCTAGACAGACTGCTCAGCTTCACAAACACCTCTCTTGCTTAAGGGACTGGACGTTACCTTAGCTAGCACAAGGGGAAGGCATACTGCAACTAATCTAGAAGTTTCCCCATAATTTTAAAGCATTTATAATCACCGCTCCCCCACCCCCCAGGTTATATTCAGTGGACATGCACTACTAGCCTATACAATGCAACATTTCACCAGGAAGTCATGAATAACATATTTCTGTAAAAACTGTCCCCTGTATGTTCTGAGGTCTGAAACTTCAGTTTCATGTCACAAAAAAAACACAAGTCTTCCAGTAAGAGAAAATAAGTTACTCAAAGAAGCCTGTGCAGTTTTCGTATTGGGATAAAGCTGATCCGAAACATCAGTCGGAATGGACACGTATTTACAAGTGCTAGGCTTGAAAGACAGAAGCAATGGAAGGGTACTTACTTACTTCCTTCCCACAAGAATCCCCGAGCATCTGAATACTTACATACCACATGCCAAAACCAGGCTAACTACAGGCAAGACAAAGAAGGAGCAATACCATATGGTTTAAAGTATAATACGTCTCACCTGTCCGCAACACGTTTTGCTTCTAGCTTCAGGTGCAAACAGGTGAGGGCTTCATCAGCAAGTCTTACAGCAAAGGGAATCTCAGAGTAACAGCATTTCCCTTCAGGTGGAATGCCAACAGCTAAAGCAACCCCCATAAAGCAACAGCAAGGTCCAGTGTGAGGGAAGGAGTGTAACATGCAAATGAACAGTAGCTACTGGACTTGAGACGACAGCCAAGTTTTAAAACTTGAACCTAAATTTAAGACACTAAATGGTAAACTTTGTCAAGTACTAGAATTGTCTTCCAAAGTGCTAAGCCACGTTTGTTAAAGCTATGGCAAAAAAAATAATAAAAAAAAAATCTTTGAGCAGCTTATGGTGGCAGTCCTCCTTACTCAAACTGAAGCCCAGGTAAGCTCACAGCTGGGGTGGTACAAATTCCATACAGCAAAGTATTTTGATGTTGCATTATACCACTGTGCTGGAATTTCAGCTCTTTGCTTTAAAAAAAGGTTTCAGGACAGTTCTGTAAAGAACATTCTCATACATTCACAATAAAAATCTGTTATTACAGAGTAGGGCTGTAAAACTTCCAAAAGATTATCTTCAATTAAGCTTGTGAGGATAGGATAACACTGCAACAGGAGCCAGCCAGGACACTGCAGTGTGCATCAAGACTGGCATGTTCTACGCAGGGAAAAGTGATGGGTTTGGGGGCTTTTTTTGACTGAAATATTTGTTAAAAAGCAAACCAATCTCATGAATCACCTTGCACCGAAGTAGTAAGCCCAGTAAACAGCAAGGTTTTAAAGTGTCAGTTTTCTCACTACAGCTATATTTGTTCACAAGAAAATGACTAATAAATCTTTTCTAGGGAATCGGATGACCTCTAGCTGCAAGACTATCAGTAATCAATTCTCTACCAATCATTTATATGGATAACTATTAGCAAATTACAACATTTAACACATTCCTTGGCATATGTTACTATTGAATAGACTCAGCCATCCAATGCTCAATACTTCACAGAGGCTACTATAACTGTGTCAAATGTATTAGAAATCCAGATTTACCTGGACAAAATTAAGACATTCCAAACTGGAACACTCGTTCAGTTATCATGCATTAGGAACAAAAAAAAAAAAAAAAAGCGTGTCAAACACTGGAATGCACTGAAGAAGGTCATTTAGTTTCCTTGGGAAAAACCAAAACCCCAGAACAAAGACTAAATTAAATACAACCCAGAATACTGCCTAATCCTATTAAATAAGTATACTGAGAGCCTGAAGGCACCACGTGTACTGTCCACAAAGATAATGGTGGCGCCTTCTTTTAATATTAAAGAAGTCATAGCTATAAAAAGAGTTAGTCCCATCGCAGTTTTCCAGCGCAGCTTATTTATGTTCCTTGGTCGGTGCGTAGTACAGTTCCATGGGTTTGTTCACTTTCCAGTACTTCTCACTGACCAGTTCCAAGGAAAATGACCCATTCAATACCTAGAAGAAAACACCAAGTCAGAAACAGAAAAAATCCGATGGCTTGCATGGGTAGTACCGCAGCAACAGACAATGACTTCAATCAGAGGAATGCACTGACAAAGAAGTCACCAATAATGCCGCACAAGTTATTAGCTAACCACTGAGCGTCAAAAAGCAACAACGCAAGCTGTTCTGAACTCCTGCTGATCTAAAACAGCACCAAAAAACACTTTTGTAAAAAGTGAATATAGCTGTAACTAAAGGAAACTTCAGTTTCTCTCTCTGCAAACAGCGGGAGTATAGATGTGCATTTACACCAGAAACAGCTCTGCTTTTGTCTGAAGGACAAGCTGTGATCATGTTTGAAAGCTGTTTGAAATAGACTCTTATGGCAAAGCACCCGCCTATCTCCTCACCAGAAGAGTTCTTTTATGCAGATAAACACCCAAGTGTAAGACCAGGCTCAGACTTCAATCTAATTGTGACGTTGCCTGGTTGTACCTGTGTATTCCCAAGTCAGCAGCTGAGAGGAGGGATTCTTCCCTAAGTGTACTCACAGCTGGTTCATAGTGGAATACTGGAAGCCTGCACAGTAGCGGAGAAACACCACCTTACAACAGACACTTCCTGGTGCGAGGAAGGGCTATCTGCTCCTGAAACAAGATTCTCAGATGAAGTAATATTTTTTTCCTCTCCAATTTTAACTGTAAAATAATGGCATAAGTCAGCTAGTAGCTGATGGCATCACTGGATTTTTCACAGGTAGTTTATAAGACTCCTTTTCTACTAACCAAGCTTTTGCTGCATACGTTTTCCTACAAAGCAACTGATCTGCTTCTAAATAAACCTGGTGCTATGAATTTTATCAAACTAAGTCCAGCTGAGTGGATTTTAATCAAATCTGTATCAAAGATGTATTGATGCTCAGTTCTACTCTTAGGCAGCAGTTCTACTTACAGTGAACTGCCCGTTGGCAGTAGCGATGTAAATGGTATACTGCTTCTCACTGGCCGTGTCAAGATTCATCTGGTTGGATTCTCCTTTGCTACGAAGCTCCTCCAAAGCCAATCTCACAGCGAGGTACTTGGACAAATGATCAACGGTGGCATTGCCTGAGGTCTTGATGTATCTGTGGCAACAACCACAAAGACAATCAAGGACATTTCAGTTGCGGGTATGGGAGAAAGACATCTGGAACACCCCCAACTATTAAACATCAAGTGTGAAGGCTTTAAAGACAGTTCACAAACAAGAATATTAGTTGCTTTCACCCAAGACATGCAAGCAGCTTACAAAATTACATTGCTGCAAAGAGTCTACCTTTTTTTAACACGTTTCCCACAGGCCATCCTGCTCTTTGTAGAGAGAAGACAGTGTTGCACTGTCATCGGCTCAAAATGAAAAACCTAGTAACAGGTTGTCAAGGGGTCTTCAGAACTACTCACAACTGCTGGAAATCTTCTGAGCATAAACAGTCCCTGGACAGAAAGCCGCAAGGTGCGAGAGCTACACACAACACTCTGTACCTCTGCTCCTTCACACAAGAATTAAAGTCTGACACAAATGCTGCAGAGGCCTCTCCCCGAAGCTTAGCTTTCTCTTTGTCTTTCAGAACAACCCCCAGAACTGCCTTGCAATCCCAAACCCAAAAGAAAAGCTGGCTGAAGCTTAAAATACATTTATAGACACTACAGAGAGATGTCTCATCAGGAGAGAAAGCCAGGAAGAGATCTGAGGAACCTCCACAAGAATGCTCATTGCTGTGATCCAAAATCTGCAGTCTGCACTTGCACTGGATCATGACCAAAATGCCAGGAAAAGCTTCCAACCTACAAATCCCGCTGACACAAAGCTGCTCCAAAAACCACTGACACTTAGGCAAGGTTTGTTCATTCCCAAAGTATCTTAGAATAAGTAGAAAGGGGCTGATATTATACCGTTATCTGAGTACATGCTGTGAACCGCAATGCTAGAAACACTTAAAAAGCTTTTATTTGTGATCAAAGGCTTAAACCCGATGGTTACTGTATTTGTGATACTAGCTGAGCAGTACCATGTACCTCACTGGCAATGGGAAGAAGCAAAGTGTGCACATGGTTAAACAGGATGTGGTACGACAAAGTAAATTTATTTTTAAAAGCCCCAAGACGTGATAGAAAACAAAAAGCACCAGAAAATAACAGCAGAATCCATGAAGAGGAGCAGAAGGCACTTACCTCGTCTGTGCGCTGTCGTCATTCTCCATGAGGGTTGGATGAGGCCTGAAGACTAATTCGATTTCGCTAGCACCATCCATTACGGGGTCTATTGCCACAGTTGTGTTGTTATTGTCCAGTTCTAGCCCAGAATCATCCGATGTTTTGGTCCTCTTATTACTAGGCCCCGCTTCCTGATTGCTGTGCGTTGAGGCATTGCTGCAGTGGGAACTGTCACCGTTATCTTCTGCTCCGCTGCCATTCTCAATCTGTTGCTTCTTGCCCCTCTGTAACCTGATCAGAAATAGGCAGAAATCAATGCTAACCCACCTTCAGAATTCACCCCAGGTATAGGCCCACAATGCTTGTACAACTCCTCCCTCTCCCCATCTTCGCCGTGACAGAAGTTACACATACACACCCACAAGCACTAAACATTTCAGAGATATTTAAAGTTTAAAAAAAAAATAATTCATTCATTCTTATAAAAAGATACTCAGACAAGACTATCGATTTTTTTCCTATCCCTCAAACACCTTTTAGACATTTTATAATTTTTAACTTCATAAAGTTATTTTTATTTTTCAGGCCATTTCAGACCATTATTTTCATGTAAATATGAATCCACATGTGATTAAAAATATAAATCACACCATGCTTCACTACCAGATAACATTTGGGGCCTCCTTCCCAGCTGGCTCTCAGGTTTAAACGCATACCCAAGAATTTCAATGCCATGTAAACACCATATATTCCAGCCTTGTGACTTAAGTCACAACTAAAACCTAAATTCTGGCATTAAGGGCATTTGTTTGCGTGTAATGGTAAAGTGTTGGTACAGGATTCGTTGTATCACAGTTTATTATCAAAGCCATAGTTTGGTAAAGCTAAACTGAAATCTGCTGGCTGCATCCAGCTGCAGCAGAAGTTACAGGGAATGATACAAAGGTTTCTATTAGTAGACAAAGGGTTAGAAAGTGTTTTGCCAAAGGTTAAAAGTCATTCTGTCAGACTTCAGAAGAGAGAAGAGGAATCTCAAGCTATACAGGGAGTGAGGACAGACGGTTTATTTTTAGTGTTAAGACAAACAGGATTACATGTGGATAAATTCCATGGACTACATACCTGTTCATAGCCTGAATCTTTAATCCTTCCTCAATGCTGTGACTTAAAGCTTGCTGGTTATTGTGCTTGCTGATTCTTGCCAGCACTCTCTCCTGATGAGCTTCATATTCATCTCGGCTTGGATAAATCTTACTGATGAGAGCATCGAAATTGGGATCTGGTCTCAGTGATCTTTTTGAAACCAGCTTTTTACGACACGTGGGACATTCTTTGTTGCTGGACAAGACAGAAAAAAACCACAGCTAACTCTCTGGCAATAACAAAAGTCTGCCCTGATGCTGCAATTCATAGTCAAGGTGCTCACTAAGACTCAGTATTTATAGTAAATCTGGAATGGGGCTTCTATCTTTTGCTAGAACAGGTAGTTCCAGATATTAAAACAAAAACCCCAAACATATACCTCCCTGCTTCATTTTTTTCTTAAAGTATGTTTAAGCAAACTGTATTTAGACTGAAGAGTTCAAAAGTTCCACTCTGAAAACCAATTCTTCCCTTAGCCCTCTGGCTTGACTGTCACCTAGAAAAAATGCATGTGTAATGGAAATTGTATTAAGCCACAGTCTTTCTAGCAATCACAGGACAAAACAAAGATGAAGGAACCTATTTACTGTGAAAACTAAAACAGTCTTGTCCTTCCTACCATTTTGTTCTCATTTAACTAAAATGTCAGGTTCACACAATTATTTTCCTGTAGGAAGAAGACACCTCAATAACTGAAACACGGGCATCTTTACTCCTGATGGTTTCCTTGTTTCCCTCTAATGTATTTTTGCTGAGTGCTCATCAGAATTTACACAGGCACAGCAAATTAAGTGTGACCTCTGAACTCGGGTAATAGCCATGATGAGAAAGAGATACTCATATAATTGACTTAACCGCTGTTGGGTACCTCAGAATTCTATTGCTTCTGGAAAAATATGAACTTGTAATTGAAGAACACAAGAAAAATGATTTGTACTTCAGAGTAGGTTGTTTCAGTAGTGAAGCTTGGAAGTAGGACTGCTGCTGAAAGGCCACACAATTTGCAATTTATTATTTGGAAATGGAAGAATAAGGGAAATGAGACTTGTTGCTGGAAGCAATTTAGTGTGTTTTTGTTTTGCTGTTACTGGATTAAAAAAAAAAAATAAAAACCCAAACAAACAAGCAAACAAAAAAAGAACAGAAAAGAGGTTTTCAACTCCTTGTAAGGAACAAAGTTATGGGATGATGTTTCATATGAGGAAAAAACAGATCTGGTCAGCCCCAGATGGCTGAACACACAAGAATGAAATATGAAAGGTGTGCTGCACCTTCAGAAACTTGCAGTGCACAGGCACGTAACTGCTCCACATCAACACCCAGGACTTAAAGGATTTCCTTGCTCACGTTTTCATCTTAAGTGAAATCCCTTTTCCCTGTAATATGATTTACGTACCCACTCCTGAGGGCTGTAATGATACAGTCAGCACAGAAGCGATGCAAACATTCTTTTGTCGTCATGGTGTTTTTTAACATATCCAAACAGATGGGACACATCAGCTCGCTGTGCAGGCTCCGGGGTGACACCACGATTTCCAAGCCATCGGTGATCGCCTCCTAGGGTAAAATAAAGTAAAAGTTCTGTAATGGAATTGAGTCACTTCCTCACAGAGATTGCATGTTCTACTATTCTTTCAAAGAGAAACACAGTAAAGTGACAAGACACGTACACAACCACATCAAACACACACACACATACTGCAAAAGGAAGGAAAAAAGAAATAAAAGATAAACACCAAGTTTATTTTTCTAACATTATAAGACGGGTTTTGTTTTAGGAAGATTTTAACATATACTATCATTTAAAATAGGCACTCCTAAAGGGAAAAGAAAATCTTAAACATCAAACTTCATGTTCTAAAGAGTATAAAAAAGCTTTGCCACAAAGGCCAGCTCTGTAACACCTATTACCTGAGGCGTTCTCTGCAGTTCGTACAAACTGAGCTCCCATGTCTTGCTTAAAGGTTGCGTCCCGTTCGTCTGCACGGCTTGAGACATGGCTGAGGAGAAAGAGAGAAAGAAGTTGCACGCTCATCCATCTGGAAACAGGAGCAGCTCCCTCTCCCAAGCAGGCTTCCCGGGCGAGCGCGAGTCCCCAGGTCTGTACAGACACAGCGATCTCTGTGCCAACAACGCACAGCTCCAGGGGGAACACTTGTTCGTGCAAGTGCCAGCTCCACAGTGTTCCACACGGATAATCCCACACTCTGCACCACTCCAGAGAAATCGAGGGAGTCAGCCAGCCATGAACACTTTGCAGAAATCCATTAAGGTTGTTAAACAAGAGTGACATCGAGCTGAAGGCCGTAAAACTTTGGCTGTGCGGTGCGAAAGCCACGAATGCCACCTGACGCGGAAAGCGTTCATCAAACATCCGCTTACAAACATGCACACGGGTCAAGCAGGGTCACCCAGTGGAAAATCAAAATTGTACACATACACAGAACACGAGCTGAACATGTTCACTGGAAGCGTGCTATAACGCCTTTCTTTTTCCTCCTGAAAATACATCAGTGGGGGTTTCCAAGCAGGAGTTTAGAGGACACTGAAAGATGAAGTAAAACCCAGCCACTGGGTAATCCCGACCCAGAGGTCCGATTTGTCTGTGCAGTCCTGCTGGGCTTCCATGGCTGGGCACGGGGTTTGCAACAACTTGTGGGGCAGGGTAGGGGGATGTCAGAAGGTTTTTGAGTTTCAGAAACCCAAATCATAAACACATGCGCAGGGTTTTGCTCATTTTGTGCATCAGTAAAAAAAGCATTCCTGGGAATGGACAGGGCTAAACATAACTGTGCTCAACAGACGACTGGTGCACTCCACAGCCACTGATGCAGAATTTGCTTACAGGCAAAGGCACACATTACCTTTTCATTAAAAAATTAAAAAAAACCCACATAAATAAAACAAGCACCAAAAAAACCCCCACCCACGCAGAGAAACTGTAATGCTTTCCCATCAAAATGTTGGGACTATTGTACAAGATGAGGCAAAGCTATTACATGTGGTCACTGCACACGTGGGAAAGAAAGTCGGGTCAAAATGACAGAAGAAAATGATGTTTCTGAACAGAAAATATTTTCATACTGGGGGAGAGGGGGCAATCCTCCCCATCTCTCCAAAAATGCCTGTCTTGAAGAAGGAAAACTCATCCCAGACTGAGTGGTATGTTTAAAAAAATAAATGTCACCACGTAAGAGGCAAGATTGCAGTTGCAAACATTTCTGCTAGGTGGGAAAAGCAGAAGGGCTTTCTTCCTTTCTTTTATCACTTTTTTAAAATCTAGGTTTGTATTTCCAGAGCCTTCAACTCGGCTGCCAAATGCAGATTCTATTGACATCTACCAAGTACATTATAATCCGGTTTCCAGTTCATCAGGTTCTATATGAAAAGGGGTCAACCTCTCCACAGAGCAAGGTTACTTTATAAGCTTTAGTTAATTGTTGAGGGAAAAGCGAGAGAAGCAGTGCAGCAAAGATTATTATATCTACTTTTATCCAGGCACAGAAACCATGAGTTTTCCCACTTTATGGAAAAAAGGAAGGAGGGGAAGCCTGACATGAAGTAACCATGTCCACTGTTACGTCTGATAAGTAACAAGGGTCTGAAGAGGCATCAAAAGAAAGAATTAGATGACAGACCATCAACTCTAATTTTTACTATATAAATGTTGTGCCCTGAAAATACAGTTTATTTGGCACAAGAGACATGTTCCTCTGTCTGGATTGGAAAAGTATGATGTCCAGTTAGGACCTGACCGTCCTGTTAAAAGTGACAAGCCACCACCACGCAGGTGCAGACTGTCACCTCCCAGTCTGGCCAAGCATTGGACTCTCCTGTCAGGATTCTGGGTATTTTATTTAAATTATTCAGAGGTATGACTTTAATGATGGTATTAAGTGACGCATCCCAGCAAAGAAGCAATGCTGAGAAGTGTACTAGTGGCAAAGAAAAGAAATAGTGTTTCTCTGTGTTCTTATTTCTACCTTTATTTAAGGTAATTCCAGGCGTACAGAAGTCCTTTGGGGGAAGGATTTTTGTTACGTGTTGCTCTAACAGAGGCCCAACATTATTATTCTGTGTCTGCACCTAACACTACTCGAGTGCTTTTAAAGCTGACACATTTAATTAACCTCTCATTTCAACTACTGAGAGAAATTCATGAAGCTGCCCATCATTCGCACCCTTCCCAAAATCTGCTGAAGCATAGTCAGACTGCAGCAGATTAAGACAACTAAATCCCAGTAAATCCAGCCTCTCTTAACAGAAAAACCTGCTCCCAACATTACGTGGCTCTATCACAGTGAAAAGCTCATCTAAGCAGCCCCATAGTAAAGAGATCATCGCATGCACAAGTCCTGTCTCACCTCGACTTGCATGCTGACACTGGCTGACACACAGCTCTGCAGGTGCCAGACTGTCAGCACACCCATCAATCCAGAGAACAAGTGTATCAACACTATCATTTATATTGCACCCCTGCCTACAGCCCGAGGCTACGCTGCAGAAGACAGTACAAGTGTTGTGATAAATAATTGACCAGCTTTATTCGAAAGGCTTCTAATCTGAGATGTCGAGTGCTTCACTCTCACCCTAAGGTCTGCAGTGATAGCACTTGCAAATTTTAAGAGGAAAAATCTTGGCCTTAAAGCCAGCTGAAAGCTGGAGAGATCCACATAGTCCATTTTATCACAAGCAAACCTCTCCTCTGCCTCTGATATATACAAAATCAAAATCAGAGAAACACTGGAAACATGCTCAATTCAAACATGCTGAAAAGCCCCTGCCCCCTCCCTCCAAAATCAACAATAAAAAAAAAAAATCACATTACACTGCATGGAGTTTTCCATCTGCTTGATGATCAATAAATAAGCCTCGTTAGGTTTTTCCCTGTTCCCCTACAGTTTCCAGATCAGTACTGGGCCTGAAAATACAGGTGAATGAGGCTTGACTTCTCTTCCTTATGACATTGTTGGACATCAGATTGAATTACATTTCATCACATTGCTGAAATCTAACACAGCAACATCAACAGCTGGCACCACTATGACAAATCAAACTCCACCAGCAGGAGAGGCATTCTGACCTAAAATTGCACTGACTGTGGAACAGCCACCCAGTATCAACTAGCAGTCTCAAAATCATAACCAATAAACCGTCTCCTTAGATGTTCTGATCAGTGACTGATCTTCTCCCTTCACTTGGGGAACAGAGGTAGGAAAAACCCTCGACAGCCCGGGGACTCTCAAGGCAAGCGTTACAAGCAGGAGGAGACTGCACTGGCCCCTGGCTCTCGGGTTTACCAGCTACACTGACATCTGTTTTAAGTAAGCAAGCGCTCTTTCCAGGCAGTCGTTTTCAAAGCACATCCCAATCGGCACTGCTCGGTTCATTTTCAGGTGTCATTTAATGGTGGTCTCCAGCAGACAAAACCCTAATAAGCAAGACAGGACTGGACTGGACTCCACTGTTCCCGCTGTCCCTGCTGGCTGCGGAGCTGAACTGCTGTGGACAGACCGCCTCCAGCTCTCCTCACCTGCCACAAAGGTGGATCCGGCAGAAGGGCTTTTTCTAGCTGTTCTGACAGTGCCAAGGCATTCGCAGCCTGAAACAGCAATACAAAGATCACTCCTTAGTTCAGTTTTCTTTTAGGACAGTCCGCTGCTACTAGATTTGAAGCAGGCAACTGCTAAAAGAAATCCTGGATGGTGCAGGCCAGACCAGCTGATCCTTTCTAAAGGTAAAAAAATTAGGAAAGTCTTTCATGAGCCAAAGAAAGATTTTTTTTTTCCTGTTGTTGACACTTTGTTCAGAATGAAAAATAGAAAGTGGAAAGTTTCTAGACAGAAGGTACAACAGACTTTTTATTAACTCCTACTGGCAAGGGGAGAGAAGATACAGAATAAATATAAAACCTCACATTTATTCTTCAGTCTGGAAATTTATTCCACTGAAATCGCACATTCTGAAGATCAGTTGGATCTTCACTGACATAGGTCACTATTCCTCCGCACACCTTTCCGCATTCTTTTTTTTTTTTAAAAGGTGTGCATATCAATATTCTCATGCTCATTTTTCCAACTCAAAATGTACAGCAGATTTCTTCACAACAATATCTGCCAAAGTTTTCATCTATTCAACATCTCAGATCTTTTCCACCTTGTAAACAAAGAAGACAAGATCTGTTCTTCACAGGTCACACCTGCTAGCATTTGGAACAATGTGAAGTCAGATATACCCGTGAGCCTTTGTTCATCATTAAGTTTCTGAAAAAACTTCTAACACATCACAGCTTTATACTTTTTATCATGTTTTACCTTTATGACTTGTCTATATCCTCGGTATGTAAGAGGAAAGCAACCAGTCACATGAGAACAGGGCGACACCAAGGGCAGAAGCCACATTCCTGTAGGCAGATCAAACATCTTTCTCCCAGAGCCACTAACAAGTACTAGTTGTTGCGATTTATGCTATAGCCAGAGGGCCACTCTTGTCAGTCTTTAACAAAAAAAAAAAAAAAAAGAAAACACCAAACCCTATTCAAGCACAGTAAAACTCTTAAGCACAAACTTTGTAATTACAGAGAACATCCGTCACTAGGACAGCAAGAGCTGACAGATACAACCAAAAGAACTGTGCTGGGTTTGTCTGTGTTAGTTAATTTGCTTCACAGTAGCTACTATGGGCGATGGTTTGGATTTGTGCTGGAAACAGTGTTGATAGCACAGGGATGTTTCGGTTGCTGCTGAGCAGTGCTGACACAGAGCCAAGGCCTTTTCTGCTCCTCACCCCACCAGCGAGTGGGCTGGGGGTGCACAAGGAGCTGGGAGGGGACACAGCTGGGACAGCTGACCCCAACTGACCAAAGGGATATCCCATACCATACGGCATCATGCTCAGCATATACAGCTGGGGGAAGAAGAAGGAAGAGGGGGATGTTCTGAGTGATGGCGTTTGTCTTCCCAAGTCACTGCTACATGTGACGAAGCCCTGCTGTCCTG